TCAGTCCATATCATGGGTACAGCAAACGGCATAGGTCGTGCACCTTTCTTCCAGTCAGTTAAATTTTTCACACACGTTATGCAACAGACATGAGGGGCCCAGGATTTGTCTTGATGGGCGACAGAAAAACCAAAACATTGGTGATAACACTCCAACACAAGATTCGTAAAATTTCGTCGTTGTTTTTTGAATGTTAGTTCTCCGCAGACATAACAAAAAGAGTTAGGATCATTATTACACTTCCTCGACATATTCACAGGGTTAATAAATCACAAAAAAGTGTTCAAATTCAACAACAAATATTTTTATAAGGATTTTACTTGTAAGCGTTTCTGTTAATTTACTGCCGTAGTACTAGTTATGAGTATTACCGTATCACAACAAATATGAGGCTAATAGACATATGACAGCTGTCATTTAATAATGAGGGTAGACTGATAAAACAAAATTAGCTGTCAAAGTTCGTGTGGCAAACCAGTGTTGACCAGTGATGATTGATTGTTCGACCATCTACTACGTAATATAAGCTCTTTGTAATTAAACATTATTTTCTACTGTTCGGTTGGCTATCAAGCGTTTTTTTTTTTAATTTTCTTAAACAACACATTCAATTTTTGTCCAGCTGGGGCAAAGGGTGGGCAGCTGTCCCCTTGCCCCCCTCTCCTGGGTACGCCCTTGCGGTCCGCAACATATGGACGCAATTTGTTGTAATACAACATACCTTAACATGTGACAACTTAAAGTAAGCAAAAGATGCATTCTTACCACGGCGGTTGATTTTGATATGAGCAGAGGGTGACAAATGTAGTGACTTTTGCTGTTGTTCTTGCAACCTCTCCTGTTCTTCTTCTTCTTCATCTTCGTCTTCCTCTCTATCGTCCATTACTTCCTCTTTGGGTCTTTTTGGTGGTGGAGGAGACTCGCTACACTCTGGCTCCCTGAAAAATCGATTCAAGTATTACTTAAGTTGCGTTTCATCAAAGTTGTATACTAAAAATGCGAAACACGAACGAAGGTATACTTTATCTGAAGTCACTTGAAACACTGTGATCTATATTTAACACGCTCTGTTGCTGCAAAAATCGCCAAATTTCGCAGCAAAATATCCCCCGTATAAGATCAAAGGCAGTTCATCACCGGTCCACGTGGAGTTAAGAACGCCTATGCGTGGACATAGCCAATGAGAAAGCGTGTATTTCAGAGCTCCGAACAAGTGCAGGTGGCTACTGAAAATTGAAACAGTTTAGCCAGTGCCGTGTAGCGGTGAATAAACGCGTTTTCTTTAGTCTGTCCGTGTTTTTTCATAGATTTTATTAGTTTGTCTGTTTTTGACTTTTGAATACTCAGTTTACTTGTTGATTTAATTGTTGTGTTGATTGTTCTTGTGTTCCTAAATATGGCTCTTTGGAGACCTTGGGAAAATGCTCCAAGCCACGAGGAGATGGTTGATGAACCTGTGCAGGCAGAATTCTTTCATGAAGATTTAGAGGAACAGACCCAAAGAGTAATCCTAAATATGTATGATTGTCTGAAAAACTAAAATCCAGATTCCTCGCAAAATCAAATTTTAAACAGAATTTGTATCCTGACAAAAATCAGTCGGTCTACCATTTATCGGGTTATAAATAGAGGAGATGTAGTCAACCATTCCTTCCACAGAAGCGCATAGGGCAAAAATTAAAAAGAATAGACGTGGGTTTTCAGGAAGACATTCGTCGTATAATATACGGATTTTATAAAGAAAATTTGGTGCCCACGTTGGAAATGATACGGGATAAATTAAAAGATTTTTATAATTACAAATGCTTAGACTCACTGCACTGTATTGTAAAACTGTGTGGTTTTCAATACAAAAAATTAGATAAAAGAATGGAGATTATGGAGTCGTGTCGAATCGTTGAATTGCGCCAAGAATTTTTGCACAAAGTTAAAATCTATAGAGAGCAGAAAGAAATCTGATTTACCTGGATGAAACGTGGTATGATACCCATGATGTTGTGCAGTACGGCTGGGTTGACGACAGCAACAAGTGCATTTTAAATGCACCATGCAACCGTGGAAAACGAATCATTATTCTCCATGCTGGCAGTGAAAATGGATTTATACCTAATGCCTTGCTGTTATCTGCCCAAAATATCAAAGAATCATGTGCCGACTATCATGAGGACACGACCTCCGACTTATTTGAAAAGTGGATAGAGCAGCAGTTAATACCAAACATTTCCCCAAATTCAGTGATTATTATGGACATTGCGCCATACCATTCCCGACAGAAAAACAAAATTCCGAATACAGGCACAAAAAACAAGACATTATTGATTTTATGAAGGATAAGGGAACGGAAATACCACAAAAATCAACAAAGCCATATTATTGGATCTTATTAAAAGACAAAGTTTGAAAAGAGTATGTTGTTGACAATCTGCTTCAGCAAAATGGCCATGAAGTATTACGTCTACCTCCCTATTACTGCATTTTTAACCCGATTGAGTTGGTCTGGGCTGCTTTAACAAAAAAAGTAAGAAAACATAATCAGACCCCCTCAATTAAGTGAATGGCTATTGGCCACAATAGAGATGCAGTATCTCATATTGCTGCCACAGACCTATGGAAGCAGTGTTCTAGGCATATTATTGAAAAAGAAAATGAATATTGTGTTTTGCCTCCTGTAAATCACGTTGTAATTCCTCTACAAGATGACTCTAGCGACAGCTCCGAAGGCGAGGATGATATATAAATACCTATAATGTAAGTCTTTATATACCTTTTTATATACCTACCTGCTATGTAATATTTGCCTATGTCAAACGGTGGAATTCTGTAATTTTGCCATTTCTTGACTTTCAGTCAACATAAATTAAACTAGCAATATAAGTATTTTTTATCCCAAATCAAAAAAAATAAGAAGATAGTAAAATCCATTTATTGTGATATAAAAATATTATTATTATCGTTCTAAATAAATGACCGCACGCCTATGATATGTCATGAAATTACAAAGGACGCGCCGACCAAAGGTTTTTATGCTATTTCAAGTGACTTCAGATAAAGTATACAGTTGTAATGACGTCACTCGTGTGATCTGTCATTACTCAAGTCATCTGTGACATCGAATATTTTTTAAATTGCGTTTTAAAAATTGAATTCGATATATTTTGTTTTCCTAAGGCAAATATTGTGAGAGATAGTAATTTATTCTATTTAACTATACAGGGTGTTCCTTAATGATATGCGAATATTTAGTTTCCTTTAAAAAGTATGGTCCAAAAATGTTTCCTTACAAAAACTCGGGGTGTTGAAGTTTTAGGAAAAAAATAGAAATTAATTAATATTTTCAGAACCGCTTCAGGTATTTACTGATATTTAGTATGTAGTTAAAGTTAATAAAGTTGCATATTTTTCAATGCAAAAATAAGTTTTAGCTTTAACAGTGGCGTGCGTACGGGTATTGACATCGATATTTTTTAAGAAAAAATGGTACGCCAATGGTATTTTGCAAAATAAAAATTATTTTCAAATTCCCCGTACACTTTAAAACAAATGATCTCTACTGAATTGTTTTCCTTCGATGCGCCATTTTTGAGTAAAAAAATAAAAACCGTTCTATTGTCCCAGAAAAAATAATGTAATAATTGAAGAATGCAATCTAGCAATAAATATCTAGTTGCTCTGGAATATGTCACTGGCTTTTGACATCTGACAAGTCTCTGTTATACAAATCTGTTCGCTGTGACATCTGTTTCATTATTTAGTTTTTACAATCTTGTTAATAATGGTGAATTATTCAAATGCAGAAATGGCGGAAATGAATTACGTATATGGCCTTGCCGACGGTAATGGTGAGCAAGCCAGACGGATTTATCACCAGAGATAACCCGATCGTGCTTTGCCAGATAGTCGAACCTTTTCTAATATTCACGTCGTCTAGTTGAAACTGGTTCAGTCCGAAAAGGCACATCTGAATGGCCACCAAGGTCCCCAGACCTCAACAGTTTAGATTTCATTTTGTGGGGCAATCTTAAGACACTAGCGTACACAAGTCCCATTAACACTGTAGAGGAATTAAGAGAAAAAATAGTTGCCGGTTGTGATAGAATAAAAAACACTCCAGGGATATTTCAACGAGTGCCCAATCCCATGAGAAGGAGGACGGAAGCATGCATACTAAGTGAAGGGGGCCATTTTCAACAATTTTTGTACTCATTTCGTTGACTTTAGTGTTTATGTTATCAGTTGTTGTTGTTCATTACCCCTAATGTGTTTAATTTTTCCAATTAAATTAATAATAATTTTGCAAGTTAGACAATAACACGGTCTTTATTTTTTTACTCAAAAATGGCGCATCAAAGGAAGACAATTCAAGAGAGATCATTTGTTTTAAACTGAACAAGGAATTCAAAATTAATTTTTATTTGGCAAAGACCATTGGCGCACCATTTTTTTCTTAAAAAATATCGTCGTCAATACCCGTACGCATGCCACTATTAAAGCTAAAAATTATTTGTGCATTGAAAAATATGCAACTTTATTAATCTTCACTACGTACTAAATATCAGTGAAATATCTGGAGCGGTTCTGAAATATTAATTAATTTCCATTTTTTCTTAAAACTTCAACACCCCAAGTTTTTGTACGGATACATTTTTTTGACCATAGTTTATAAAGCAAACTAACATTAATTTTTCGTGTAGATTCACACCCTTAAATATTCGCATATCATTAAGGAACACCCTGTATATGGATCAAGTAGCCTATTCAAAGTACAACTCACCGTTTGGTGATGTTTGAAGGCTCTGACAAGTTGATCGGCTCCTTCTGTGGCTCCACGGCACTTGCGTTTGCAGTGGGTTGTACAGGGTGGTTATTGTTACTGTACAGGTTCCAGAGCGTCATACGTGACATTCGAGAGGATGAAGAGGGGTGTAGACGACGAATGGTAGGGGGCGACATTTCTCCTCCGGCTCGGATGATTGGGGGCGGTGTGCCACAACCGCCTCCTGTAAAATCTGCAACAAAGTACAAAAATAAAGTAAAGAGAGAGAGGGAGTGAGAATTCATACAAAACCAGGCGCAAACACAATGGGCCTCTAATCCAAGCAAGCTTCGTGGAAGATTGTTCAAATCGGAAACTATCAATTTTAGTCCCTGCAAAGAGAAGACATCGGCAGGGGTATTACGTATCTTGAAAAGTGATATTATGTCACTTTATTTTTGAAATTTGTCACGTGCTAAAATCATGTAACCCTTTTTTAACTATTTTGATCACATATCAGTAATTTAAATTTCTCTTTATTAATAGTAGAGTGCCCGTTCCTAGACCAAATGATTGTATAATTTCTCACGTATTATATCTGTTATTCTCAGTGACTCAGTAATGTATTGAAATATTTTGGACAGTAATGTTATAGTATTATTAACGACTATCTGTGAAAATATCGTTGACCCTCGTAGAGTTGAAAACCAGCGCGCCACCTTGTCGCTTTACACGTACTAGCAGTATAGGGACATTTGGTTCTATCAAGATACCTCCTTCAATGTCATTCAATTTAACCTTCTTTTAATGTTTACCTTCCTATCAAGATACCTTCTGTTAAAATTTGCTTTACTATCAAGTTACCTTCTTTTGAAATGTGATTTTCTATCAAGATACCTTCTTTTAATTGCGTACCGACGCGTTCAGCGCCATTTTTTACTTTTGCGTTTCCGCTGTGATTTTGGTTGTGTGCGGGTGTTTTTTCGTTAACTTCCAGATTTTGGGATATAACGCCCCAAATACCAGTTTATGGAGTAGTACCCTTTTATTTTGTACCTTACGCTTGGTTGTTTGGTTTGGGTCTACTCCGTCCATCTTCGAATGGGATTTTTAACCTCCAGCGTGGAAAGCCATTGTGGAGAACCACCATTCACACTCCTCCAGCTTTGTTTTGTAGCTGCTTTGTAGCTGTTTCGGAGCCGATTTTGTTGGAAGCCATCTCTTAGCCTTGATAAAAAAACCCTGATGTGAACAGAAAGAAAAGTATTTTTCTTGTACAGAATGTACAGAGATTTGTCTTCATGTTTTGAGTCTTTTAATGTGTAGTTCTATCTCAGACATAGAGTAGAGAGCAGATTTCTCTCTCTATGGTTGTTTTTTATACCATAAATTTTGGAAACGAGGCAAGCAGCCTCTACCTTGTGACGTTCCTTACGTCACTGGTCGGGGTCAGTGTGTCAGGTCAGTATGCAACCTTCAACCGACGGTTACGGTCACGCGTGTAGAGGTCATCGCGTAGACGAGAATCCCTCAACAAGCACTAGAGACGTGGCTAGAGAAGTGCAAGTATCAAAAACTAAAGTGTGTCAAACGCTGCGTGAAGAGGGGCTGTATCACGTCCAACGTGTACAAGCACTTCAACCTGACGATTTTCCAGCAAGAGTGCGGTTTTGTGAGTGGTTGTTGCATCAACATGACAATAGTCCGGACTTTTGAAGTGCATATTGGTGACAGACGAATCTACGTTCACGCGTAATGGGGTGAATAACTTCGCAACACTCATGTTTGGTCAGTAGAAAATCCGCAAGCCGTCCGTCGGGCACATTTTCGGTGAATGTTTGGGCTAGTATGGTGAACGGTATGCTCATTGGACCATTTATTCTCCCAAATCGATTGGACGGGATGCAATACCTAGACTTTTGATGCAACATTTGCCTTCCTTGTTTGCCTGCGTCTGCTCGGTAGCGCATCATTTTCTGTTGGAGCGGTATGATTTCGGGCAGAGACGTACTTAGCCCTTCTCGTCAACTGGAGAGTGAGTACTTTTTCCTTTATTTTTTTTTTACTTGGTCGCCCTCGTTTCACTATACCTTACCTTTGTTATTTCAAGGGTAGTTGTTTCTGAAAAGGAAACCCCAACTTTGCGGACACCCTGTATATTGTGATTATTTTTTTATTAATTTGTTGTGGCTTGAATTTGATGATCAAGGCCTCCTATTTTATTTTGAAACTAATTGTATCTCGGCTCTGCATGAATGATCTACTTGTTTTATTTTTATTTTTACGAAAACAATGCACTCTAGGAAAAAACACACAAGTAATTATTTATAGAAAATTGCGCGTTTCGAAATAAAAAACAATGGCGTACTATTTTTATTTGGAGAAATAATGCCACTGGTCCCCTGTATCTCCGCCACTGGTGCACGTAAAGACTTTTGATTGTGGACAACATTTGGGTTAATTAACATATTAAATTTTAGTTCATTGCAGTTGAAATTGAAATATTTTTATTTTTAAACTTCAACACCCCGTATCTTTTTGATGAAGATCTCGAGGATAAAATGTTACATAGAAGACCCTGCTTAAAATATAGCCTGGGTATGATGTTTAATTTTTTATCACGATTTGTGAATCACCCTGTATAATATAAGCTACGCGAAAATTTTAGGATTTAACCTCAACTATTAAAACCTAAATATCTGACAGACGTTCCTTATGAGACAAAAGCTGTGGGAAATTGAATGGTATCTTATAAAATGCACTTTTCTCCGAAAAGGGCAGTGGCGTAGAAATTATTGCGTACTAGGGGTCCAGGTACTCCAGTTTCTACTTTCCTGGTTTAGTTTAGCCCGGAAAACTGTGTGTATTTATTAATTATGATGTGCCCACTGAACATCCAAACTTCTAACTAGAATTTTAGAATTTCCAGAAAAATTGGGTGCCAGAAAAAAAACTTTCCCGGAAAAATTGAGGAAAAAAAGGAAAAATACGGAAAAATTGAAATTGTTATATACAAGATAAAAGTATTCTGGTTACTGATTTTTCCATCAAAACAGAAATAATTTGAATCAAAACCGTAAACTACGGCTCTGAAGGATTAGTTCTTGGTAAATACCCGTTGATTTTCGGTGAATCCCCGATCACTACAGCTTTCGGTTAATTCCCGATCACGCACGGCGACACGGCATTTCGGTAAATCCCCGTATTCCTGAATTGTTCAGTTGAGAATGAGATTCTTCAATATTGACACGTCTTGTTTATTTTAAAGCACGCATTTTAGTTTAGCCTTACCATAAGCGCAGTAAATGAATAATACAAAGTGAAATTTTGCTGTAATAATTGAGTGTGTTTGTTCTGAAGATTGTTAGTGTTTGTTTTGGTTTCTGGTAAGTTAATATTTTATTAAATTTGGAATAGCTTTAAGTGTTTTGAAGGTGAGATTTCAGTTTCTCCTTGCTTATTTTCCTTACTTTTCTTTATTACTAATATCAAGATTCAGTAATAATAATTAATATCGGTATACTTATTAAATTACAAGAATTTGATCAGTTGATAAAGTGCAGCAAGATATTTTATTTATGTTATTTTTTTCTTGTTGCAGGACAATATGGTTCGACCTTCTTCAGATATTTGGCAATTATTTGATATTGAAAAAATCCAAGGCTGTGTGTAAGTTTTGCTGTTGTAAATACGCCTTTCCAAACGCAACTCGCATGACGAATCATATATTAAACCAATGTTCAAAATATCCTTTGGAAATTAAACAAAAATATGGCAATGAAATACAATCGAGTTCGAAGTCTTCGACGTCAGAAGAAAAGAAAGTAACAAAGATATCCTGCTAGAAGCATTAGAAGATACCAGTCTCGCTTCAACTAGCAAAAAAGGTCACGTCACCAATGTCATCATCTTCCGAATCTCCATTACCATCAGTAAAACGCAAGAAAGCTAGCTGCCAACAAACATTGAGCGGGTTTTTCGATAAGATAGCTGTTTCAGAGTCTTCTTAAATTGATGAGGTATTAGCTAGGGCGCTTTATGCTTCTGGTGCTCCTTTTTCTCTTTTCCAAAATAAATATTGGGAACAGGTTTTTAAATGTAGTATGAACGTGTACAGATAAACCGAAGTCAAAAGCTTTCTGAATCCGATAGTTTATGGCAGAAACGGGAACGTATATAAGTAATGAACTTATCAATATTATTCAAGAAATTAAGGCCACAACATTTTTTTTTAATAGTGACTGACAATGCGAGCAATACGAAAGCTGCTTGGCATATTATAAATACAACATATCCTCATATATCTTGTGTTGGTTGTGTAGCTCACACTCTGAGTTTGATACTAAGGACTTTATGAAAGAACATTTGTTTGAAAAAATAAGTAGAGTCTAAAAAAATTGTAAATATTTTAAACAGCACCACATACTTTATGCTGCATTTAAAGAAGCACAGGCCCAAAAATAAAGTAATTTCCCTCAAATTACCTGCAAAAATAAGATGGGGTTCTCTGTTTATAACTGTTGATTCGCTTTTAAGAAATAAGGAAGCTCTGCAATGTACTGTATTAGTGGAAAACCTGAATGTAAAACAAAATATTAAAAAAGTTGTATTGGATGATGCGTTCTGGCAAAACCTACAATATACTAAACAAATCCTGCATCCTATATCAAAATCGATATATTTAGTAGAATCGGATATATCTATATCATCAGAAGTGCCTTTGGTCTTTAAGTATATAAAAGACTCAATATTAGATATTCCCCAACAAGTTGACCTGACTAGTTCTCTTATCGAAAGCTTGCTAAAATATGTTGAAGAACGCTACGAATTTTGTTCTAAGCCGATTCACTTTGCAGCCACTCTAGACCAACTAATGGAAGCAATAGACTTCATTTCTGAAATGGCTCGTTCACTAGATCTAGATGTAGGGAAGGTGGTGACAAATCTAGACCAATTTAGAACAAAAACTGGATTTTTTAGTCGAAATTCTTCATGGGATAGTGTGAATAGTACTCATCCCGTTATATGGTGGCAAGGCTTGTGTATATCGCAGCCACTTATGCCAATTGCCTCCCGAATTTTAAATGGACCGCCATCTTCCGCCTCTTCAGAAAGAAACTGGTCTTTACACGGCCTCATACATACAAGAAAAAGAAATAGATTATCACAGGATAAAAGTCGGAAGCTGGTTGCTATTCATTCTAATTTGGTTATAAACGAAAAACAGACATTCATTTACGATGCTAGACCAGTTCCACGTTTAGAATTGACAAAGATTATGCTGTTTTGTCCGTCCATGAAGACGAAGCGGAGATCGAGTCTGAATCAGATGCTTGGTCTGAAGATTCAAACTCAGACTCAGATGAAAATATACCTCTGAGCCCTTTGGTTAAATAATGTGTTTCCTACCTTTGAAGCTTTGTTTTTGATACTTTCAATTATTAGATAATAATTATAATTTGACCCTATATACACATGTATGTATTTATATCTTAGATATTAATAGATATTATTTAAGTATGTTTTTTGTATTATTTATTTTTACAAAATATGTTTAAAAAACTTTAAAATTGGTACCTATTTTTTACGTTTCAAGTCACAATTAAAAAATATTTAAATTCTCTCATTTTTCCAATTTTTCCAATGGTCTGGAAAAAACGGAAAAAACGTGTTTTTTCCTAATTTTTCCCGTTTTTTTTCCGATATGTTAAATCTCTACTTCTAACCCACTTACTATATTTCGTAAATAAATATTTTGTAAATAAAACTTCATCGCCCTAAAACTCGGTAGGGGACGATCTTTGGACATATTTATTATAAGAACTTTTTTATTATTTATAGATGTACTTTCTACCCTGAAACTATTGGAACATCTTTCTGAAACACCCCCGTATATTCACTAATTCGATAAATACTGTCAATAAATTATTATTATTACAGAATCTGATTTTTACTCACCAGCTGTAGTACTTCTCATCTCCTTATTCAGCAATTTAACATACTCCATCATCCTGGCCTCAAATTCCGACGGCGCCAGTCCGGGCAGCGGCCCCCCCTGTACTCCGTTCGTTGTTGGTTGACCCATGGGCGGCGGATGGCTCGGATGATGGACGCCATTGTGGTGTTGTTGCTGCTGCTGCTGCTGTTGATGATGAAGAGACAGCATCCTAGCTGCTAACTGCTGTTGCTAAAACAAAGTGAAAACATCCATCAAAAATGAAACACCATCCATAAAAGAGCAACAGATGTTTTATCCGCAGCGAGGAAACGTGGTCAATTAAATGGTGGTTGTGGAAAGTTTTCATTACCCGTAATAAACTTCTTAATTATTCTAAGTAACTAAATTATTAGGCTTAATTAAACTCAATTTTGTGGAAGCAGTTTAATTGAAAGTAATTGTTAAACTAATTTGCTTGAAAATTAAACTGTTTAATAAGTTTAGGTAATTTATTTTAGCCACTAATCCTCTGCATCTCCGCCACTGATGTATGTCAATTTTAAGACTTCTGAACTTAGGTAAATAAACACACCAAATTTTAGTGCATTCCAGTTGACGGTTTTGAAGATATTTAAAAAAATGTTTTTTACTTTTAAACTTCAGTACCCCGTACATTTTTCCAGGAAAAAATGTTATATTGAAGACCCCTTAAAAGTGTCATGTGTATTATGTTTTATTTTTGGTCACGACTTGTGAATTACCCTGTGAATGTACGCCTTTAAAGTTGTTTCTGTTTGTACTATCTTGTAACTACTTATGTTTGTTTTGTTTTACTTTTAATTATCTGTGCTATGTGCCTTCTCTTCGAACGAGTCTTATGTCATTTTTTTATGATCTACAAGACAATAAATCTATCTATACTAAGTGACATATAAATCCGAACACTCAGTTTAAATGATTTTATTTTAATAAAATTTTGTATAAGTACTTAATGAAGCATAATAAGTAAATGATAAAAATTTCAAAATGATTGCACTGCTTTAAAGTCCTTTGACCTTTAATAATGTGTGGATGCACCCTGATGTGCTACGCATTCTCCAACGCGCCTAGGCATGCTTCTGATCAGGTGGTCAATGTCGTCCTGTGGTATCTCATTCCAGGCAACCACCAACTCCTCTCGAAGTGCTTCTAGAGTCTGAGGAGGACGTTGCAAATTGAGCAATCTCCTACCCATCATATCCCACACGTGCTCAATTGGGGATAAGTCGGGAGATCTTGGTGGCCCTGGTAACAATGTGACATCATGATGTTGAAAGAAGTCTATTGTGACTCTTGCAACATGTGGTCGGGCATTATCTTGTTGGAAAGTTGGATCTGCTAGGGTGTCAAGATAGGGTAAAAGATGGGGTTCTAGAACTTCGTGGATATAACGCTGCGCGTTCATGTTACCTCTGATGAAGATTAAAGGTGACCTGGAACCATAAGCTATAGTACCCCAAACCATAACTCCAACAGTGTGATGAACATGTCTTTCAACAAAAAACTGTGGATTCCTCCTTTCACCACGTCGCCTTCTAACCCTGGCACGACATCGTGCATGCCTAAACAAAATCGAGACTCGTCACTAAAGACAATACTGTTCCATTCCTGATCCCAGAGTGACCGTTGTCTGCACCACTCAAGGCGATTACGTCGGTGTTCTCGAGTTAAAGGAGGACCCAGTGTGACCGGTATGAAAACAAGCTGAAACTTTTCATTCGTCGGTAAACACTTCGCATGCCAATAGGTCTTCCGTGTTCTGCAAACCAATCATTTGCAATGGACCTGGTAGTGGAGAAACGGTCCCTTAAGGCCAATAATCTTAGGCGGCGATCTTCACGGTCTGTTGTTCTACGGCGGCGTGCAGTGCCCCTTGCTCTTTGCGTACGGCTTCTCGAAGCCATGCCTGACAACACCTAACCACAGTGTCTACACTTCTTTGCACTCTAACTGCAATTGCCCGAAAAGAAAGTCCAGCTTCCCGAAGTCCCACTATACGGCCCCTATCAAACTCACTAAGTTGACGAAATCGTACAGGTCTCCGTACTCTAGGCATCGTAACCGATCGTAAAGGATGTCAAGAACCAAAATCCGCCAACGTTGATTCTTTACTGCGGCTGAAATATTCATTTTTAGAGCGTTAGTGAATTAAAAAAAAGAAGTATAAAAACCGGAATGTCCAACTGATAAGGCTGAAAAATTTTTCACTTGTTATTTACAGTAAGATAAATACCTGTACATTCACCAACTTTTATTAAAATAAAACCATTTAAACTGGGTGTTCGGATTTATATGTCACTTAGTATACTATCTTGTAAATACTTATGTTTGTTTTGTTTTACTTTTAACCCATTAGCTACATTTATGTAACGAAAAATAGTATTACAAATGCAACCCTTCTTACGCTCAAAAAGCGTTGATCTAGGAGTTTTATTTAGTTGTGTTAATCAAGCCTCGTGTTGTTGTTTCCAAATATCGCTCCGCTAAATTTTGTTAGTGCAAGAATAGGCATCAAAAATGGACTTCATCGATAAGGAGTAAGTATAGTTGTTAGATTCCATAACATAATTTGATAGAGTTGCAAAAGTAGCATCTGTAGATGTGGTGTAAAGTATTGTGCCATTACCACGTGAACTTTTTTGTTTTATACTTGTGTTAGTAAACCATTAACTTTGCTGTTACATATACGTAACGCTAGGACATAGCGTGGTCATTTTAGCTGCTTTTATGTCATTATCAGTCTTATGAATATTTGTACTTTTTTACGCAACAGCATTTTTTCAGGGGGCTTAAAGGTATCCTACAGAAGGGGGTGACTGTTCAAGAAGCCATAGATATAGTCTTTGGAGAAAATGATGACTTAGACAACCCTGTAGAGGCAATTTATATTGCGTCACCGGAACCTGCTGTCCTGACTGATGAAGATTCTGGAGACGAGGACGAGGGAGGGGACCTAGACCATTTGAGCAAACTTCAGTAACTTGCAGAAGCTGAAGTTAGATTTGCTGGAGGAGTGATGTTAGAAGATACTCATCCCGAACATACAGACTCTAATGGGGATGGTTCTTCATCAAAAAGGATTCAACTCCAGCTGATATGGTATACCCAAAGACTTCTGATACTCGGGAGTGGATTTCGGGAGACTACACTTACAACAAACCGCCATTTCCTGAAGCAGATTATTCAGCATTTGAAAACAAATCAGTTGTAGATATTTTGAAATGTTTATAGACGACGACGTAATACTATTCCTAATGCAAGAAACTAACAAATATGCCCTTTTCAAAAACCTACCGGACCCAAGAGTGTCTCAAGAAGAAATGAAATGTTTCATCGGTATATTACTTATTAGCGGTTATAACGATCTGCCCAGTAAGCGAATGTACTGGGAGCAAAGCCTTGACACCAGAAATGAACTTGTCTATAATTCTATGAGGCGTAACCGATTTGAGCAAATTTTGAGGTTACTACATTTGGCATCTAATGAGAATATTGACAAGAATGACAAACTTTGGAAGCTCAGACCGTTTATAAACAAAATAAAAGACAGGTGTAGAAAGTATTTTGTTCCAGAAGAGGATCTATCATTTGATGAGAGCACGGTCAAATATTACGGTAAACATAGCTGTAAACAGTTTTTGGTGTCTGAATACCACAATAGTCTATTTGGTCGATTAGGAAATAAATATATCTATCTAATAAGTACACCATCAATGGAATTAAGAAATATCGAATTCTTTAAAGGTTATAAAATTCTTTATTTTAATTCGAACACATCAAGCATCAATACCTCGTTCTCCAAAATTTTTGATATCCCAGATTTGTCAGAGCACAGTTATCATTTAGTTAGCTAAATATTTTTTAAATACCAAATATCCTTTTAAATCTAATTAAAATAATTCATTAAAACTAGGCAAACACTTTTAGATCAACTAATTAAACAAATACAATAAATATAATTAAATTGTTTGACTCCGAGTAAGTAAACGCATTTTAATAGTACATTAATTTCAAATAAATTGGTATAATCAATCGAAATAAGCGGATTAATAAATTTAATTAAATGATTGCGTTTTGGTTTAATTAAACTAGCTGAACAGAAATCGGAGTCTAAGTGAACTAATTAAATGTGATAGCTGTCACATAGTTAATTAATGTTTTAATTTTGATTGTTTTGATTAAATTTCTTTGATGGGACGGAAAATGTATATATAGGGTGAGATGTTCGTGTATGCAAAACAAACGAAAGTTCCCGCTTATTTCTTAAACTGTTGGACCGATTTAGAAACAGTTTTGCGGTCGTGGGTTTACGATCCATCGGCGATAATAATTGTAAAGGTCTTAACTCACCAGGGGCTGCTGCAACTGATAATTTTCTTGTTCCCATTCATCCCTTAAGCGTTGAATGGTTGTGAGTAGTCTTTTACTCACCGTGTGTTGTTGCTGTACGAGGGACAAGGGCGACATCTGCAACCCGGCGGCTGGATTTGGAGATCTCTGCATTTGGTCGTACTGGCCGTAACTGCTCCTTCTTCCTTCTCGTCTGTTCCCGTCTATGGCCGCTTGAAGTTCTGCTGGGGTACTCAGTCGCCTCTTCTCGCATTCGTACGGGTACAAGTATTTCATGTATCTGAAAGAAAAAAACAACAAATTCTTTAGTCTTGTTGGGTGAGGACATAAGTAGTCAGTTTTTGTACGGGGATTTTGAAAAGCAAGAAATCGACCAAAACATGTTTACTCCAGGGAATAGGTGACTTTTCTTACAAAACGTCTGTTAGACACAGATCAAATTTCTTCAAATTTTTTAATCAACTTATCCACATACTTATTCATATTTTTGTCTGGATGTGACGCATTAAACAACTGGACAGTAGCTCTTGCAATGCTCCCATTTTGATAATACAGTTTTGCTATTTCTACTCTTTCTTGAATTGAATAAGTCATTGTTCACAGCTACAGTATATTCAGATAAGAGATAGACCGGATGTAAACAAAAGGTTCGGGTGATTTTCACGCTAACGCCGCCGTCTCGACGTAAAACAGGAGCCCTCATTGGTCAATTCGCAATTAAATGCCTATGCCGAGCGGCAGAGCAGTCGTATCAAGGCAGAGTCACATTCAGGTTCAGACGTGTTACGTATGTCGTGTGCATCATTGCAATTTGATATTTCTTTGGACGTTTTCGTTTGTTATCTTATTAAGTTGTTGAGTTTGTCGTTGTTATTGTTATACCTTGTTATTGATTGTTATTGTTATCAACTGCTTGCGCAAATTGCCCAGTAGTACAGATATTGCCGATGAAGTTGTAAACTCCTGTAGTCCACCTAGAAAACGCTCTAAAAAAAGACACCTGAGTGCAGAAATGAAAGAGGTCATTTTGAATATATATAAGATCGAGCGCGAGGAGAACGAGGCATCAACCATCAAAGAAATTGTTGTGAAGGTTTTTCACAAAGTTGGGGTGTGTCGCGCATCAGTGTTTAATGTGTTAAGGACAATACAAAAAAAATCACACCTTTTCTGAGCCAATGACCAGTAAACATCGCAAAAGTATTGTTAAATCATTGGATTAAGCTGATAAGCATGCGATTAGGAGGAAAGTGCATGAATTCTTCTTTAGGAATGAAATACCTACTATAGATAAAGTACTGCAGGAGGTAAATGGAGATACAACGTTGCCAAATTTCAAACGATCAACTTTCCATGCGTTACTGAAGCATTTAAATTTCAAATGGAAAAAACGGGGTCGTAATAGTTTACTACTGGATAGAGAAGAAATTGTGCTATGGAGGAGGGATTATTTAACAAAAATTGGGAAATATAGAAATCAAAACAGGAAGATTTATTACCTTGATGAAACGTGGGTAAACGCAGGACACACTACAAGTAAAGTATGGGTTGATGATTCTGTAACTTCATCCAGGTGGGCCTTTCTAGATGGACTGTCCACCGGATTAAAAAATCCAGCAGGTAAATACGAGTAATAGACAACAATCGGATGTTTTTCAAACCTTGGGAACAAGGTTCTAAACATTAATTCCAGGGGGCAGATAAAACATATTACAAGTAACAAAACTTTTATAACTTTCGATAAAATGCGTGGATGTTTTATTGTCATTTTCATTTGTTAGAACTTTTTTAAGCCATGTTTTTATGTGTTTTCGATATTTCAATAATTTTTTAATATAATGTTAAAATATGTCGAATATTATAAACTTAAAAAAAGTTACTAAGTTTTATATTGTGTACCGTTCCTAATATTTCTAATCATTTAATTCATACTTTAAGCTTTATAAAGTTATAATTTGTTAATATTAATATTTGCGCGTATTTCAAGTTCCTGATCATTCATTTTTTAAAGGTTTATAACTTGTGAAGCGCTGAGTAATCATACGACGTTCAATATCCTTTCTTTCAATATGACTAAATAATCCCAATTATAGCAATCTGATACTCATGTCTCAATGTTTTTTCGCTGAATGTGATGAAAACATTTGAAAAAGGTTCGCTTATTGAAATAAATCTACACCAGTTAGTACTTCGATTTCCAGGTAAAGGGAAAAGGCTCATTATCTGCCATATTGGCAGTGAGGATGGATTTGTTGTTGACGGTCTGTGGTGCTTTGAGTCTAAGAAAACTGGAGATTACCACGAGGAAATGAATGGCGAATCGTTTGAACAGTGGTTTTCAAAATTTTACCGAACTTAGAGGAAAACGCAGTAATTGTGTTGGATAATGCGCCTTATCATTCTCGAAGAATGGAGAAGGTCCCAACAACGGCTTCAAGGAAAGTTGATGTTCAAAATTGGCTCCGCTCGAAAAATATCAACTTTGAAGAAGCAATGCTGAAAGTACAATTATTAAGAATTGTCAAGGATCACAAGGCGGAATATCAAAAATACGCCGTTGACGAAATGGCAGCAAGTCAAAATAAAACTGTGCTCCGTTTACCTCCATACCATTGCGAGCTCAATCCCATTGAGCTCATATGGGCAGAGGTTAAAAATTATATAGCTAAGCACAATACAACTTTTAAATTTTGTGACCTCAAAGGACTTTTCAAAGAAGCACTAGAATTAATAACAGCGCAAAAATGTGAAAACTGTATTAAGCACGTGAAAGACAAAGTTGAAAAGAGAATGTGGGAACTGGACAATATTTTAGAGGAACAAGTCGAGCCATTCATTATTGACGTTGGTGCTTCAGGCAGTAGCGATGATGAAAGCTCATCAAGCTCATCTTTCCAATAAAAGATGTCGTTCATCAAATTCGGTAAGTTATAAGTAATTATAAAGCTACTGTATTTTTTAATTAATTATTGACATTTTTGAACCCATTTTGGCAAAACCTATTCAAGAATCTACTTTCTGACAATGTTCAACCATGCACATTTTTTTACGTTTTGAACGTTTTAATTTGGTTACATATTTACCTAGAAATCAAAAAATATACTAATCACTTTTCTAAAAGCAATTTTAATAGATATACGATTATTTTTAATTTAGGCTAATTTAAACGCCATTTTGAGATTATATTCGACTGTATTTCACCAAACATCAGGTGGCATCCGAAGCTGGAAATCGAAGCGAAAATTTTGAAACCCTTATGTATATTTACATCATTATATATTTCTTACCCCACCCCCACATGATCCTATATCCATCACCAATCGTATACACATCGAATTGTGCTAATTTACTACAAAGTTACGCAAAGCAGCATCTACTATCTAAAATATGTACTGCGTGACTCTTAATACGTCGCTGCCGAATGTTACAGCGTTCGATGATCACGTGGTTTTGTTTATGTCCGGTCTATCTCTTATCTGAATATACTTTAGGTAGGTAATTTAACAATTTGAAATGAAAGACAAAGTTTTTATATGGCATACGATGACACTGACTGATGCTAAATGTTCTTTCTGGTATCCATGATTATTTTTTGCCATGCATTCCATTATTATCACTATTAAGTTAGTAGAATTTTGTTATAAACTCAAATACTTTCACAAAGACTAAAGATAGGTATAAACTTTAGTATACAAAACTTGATGGAACAATTATCACTATTAAGTTAGTCGAATTTTATTATAAACTCAAATACTTTCACAACGACTAAAGATAGGTATAAACTTTATTATACAAAACTTGATGAAACATCTAAAGCTTACAAAAAGGGGGTTTCCACTTGAAAATCTAAAGTGCATCGTAATATCTTATTTTTGGCACACGCTGTATATTACGGCCACAAATGAAAAGAAATCAAAATTGGCGTATACGAGCGTTTTCGCCAAAATGTATCAGTCACAAATAAGGGTGCGACCTTTTCGTTGGACCATCCTGTATGTTATTTTTTTATGCCCATGAGATAATTTCTTATGATTGTTGGTTGATCAGGTTTCAGCTAACCGCTATTCCCTAAGATTCAAGTACATGAGAAAAGGTAATAAATATGCAATAAAATCCTAAAATGCAAATTGATTGAAAGCGATTGATTAATAAAAATAAATGAAAAGTATTTTTTTATTCAAGAACGGTAAATCTAGCAATAAATGCAGAGATTTGAGGTGCTACCTAGCGCTGTCTACATACAGTGCTGAAAATATAATCACATTTTTGAACATCATCATCATCATCAGGGACCTAAAACAGCTTAAGCTTAGGAAGTGAAATCATTTGGAAAACTGAACCTGAACTGGCAGCTCAGTTTTTTTTTGGAAAAACGCTCAGAGCCGTCGATTTTGTTTTCGAGGGGGACACAAGTCTGGCAAAAAATCATGTTAGCACGTACAGCCTCCTAAGCGGGGTGACACCAACCCCAAAATCTTAAGTGGAAAGGGGGTCGAGTGATACCTTATTTTAAAGGTCTTTCAATTCCCTTTATAATGATATAAAATTAATGTAATTCAGTTCAGTAGTTTTGAGGATTTATTGATTTAAAGCTTAAATAAAACTAGTACATCATCATTAGTGGAGATCAATACATTTGGAAGCAAAGTAATTTAAAAATGAAGAATGAACTGACCCGTTAGGCAAGTAAATGTTGAAAATGGCCACCATGACTCTCCATGCAATAATAAAGATTTCGCTCAAAACGTTGCCTCACATTATGTAATATTTGAGGAGTAATTTGAAGGCACTCATTCACAATTCTTTGTCGCAGGTCTTCTAATCATGTTGGCTGAGTAGCATAGATTTTGCTTTTTAAATGACCCCACATAAAGAAATCCAAAGGTGATAAATCTGGCGATCCTGGGGGCCATTTAATCACCTCTTTTACCAATCCATCTATCTGGAAACGTCTGATCTAAATATTGTCGAACACGTAATGCGTAATGTGATGGGGCACCATCCTGTTGGAACATCAACCTTCGCAATATACCACCGATCATTCTGATTTTCAATTATGGCTGATAATGCAGGATCTATGGCGTCTTCCAGTACGTCGACTAACACCAGACACAGTCTCCAATTTGCGGGTACTTAACGTAGGATCTACATAAACTTGCCCTAAAACCCCCCTATTGCTTCGTTCCTTATGGGATTTTCAATGTTGCGTTTTTTATTGGCGACTGACCCAGTTTCCCGAAATTTAGCTACAGGTTCTAGAACATATTTTCGATGCCCGTT